CAAGGTTGACTATTGACTGTTACCTCCCTCAACCATTATCCTGTGGGAAGATGATAAAACTGTTTATGAATTTATGAATCTCTCCATAGATGCAGTATCTGTAGGCATTTACAGAATAATGCTTCTCTTCAGCAGGAACTTTTTATTGAACCCAACTTTTTAGACCAAGGAATGATAGTACTAGGGAGAGTAAAGAAAAGCACAAAGACTTTCCCTCATGTTATAAGAAAAAGAATAGTGTTCTTATATGCCCTGACTAAAGTTTGTATGGTCTAGATTACACTGCTGTCTACAGAATCCACACGAGACTCATTTTATGATGTCTGGCCACCTTTAAATAAGAATGTATACTTAAACACACACGCATTATGCAAGGATCAGTAGCACCTAATATTTTTTCCCCTTGCATTCATTCGGTGCACAAAAAAAAAAAGTAATGTTATTATAAAAACAGTGACTATTTGCACTTGTACATGTTCTGCATATGCCCACGATCAATTTTAATCTATATATCCATAAAAATCCAATAATTATTTCCTTTACTGCAGGGACTCTAAAAACAATCATTACATTGTAGTGACAAATACTGTCCCTAGTTTAGCAGAAGGGAATTTTCAGTGTGTACAGTATGTGTCTCGTGGTGTCATTATTATGTACATAATAGCAATACTTTACAATGTGTAATAAATCATGCAGCTTGTTAATTTCCTATGCTTGTCTGTTTTTGAAAGCATGCTTTAAGTTAAATAGTGTGAAATGTCATATTGATTCAGAATTAGGATGGACACTAAAATTTACAGGGCCGGGACTGTTTTTAATGGGTGGGCCTCCTCTAAACCAGGTCCAGTGAGTAGGTTCTACATCACAGGACAACATTCCCTGTTGTCTCCCCCTGAACAGAATGAGTGTAATCTGATCATCACCAAACACAGATGCTGGTTTAGTGCCTTAAGAGTATAGTCCAAGTCTAGAGAGCGAGGCTGATCTCAGCCTACACATGCTAGAACTAATGATGCTGCTAATGTGAGGCCTTCATCACAGGGATGTCTGAATTACCCCTCTGTTTGACTTCTAAAGAACAATTTAGCTTTTTAAGACATCCAAAGGACTATGAAAACATTTAGAAGGGAGGAGGAGGGTTGTGAAAACGCTTAGAAAAAAAGGAAGTGAAGTCAAAGGCAGAGGTGGACAAAGTACACAACTCCATTACTTCAGTGAAAGTACAGATACTGCTGGTCAAATATTACTCCAAGTCACCTTTATTTATATAGCGCTTTATACAATACAGATTGTGTCAAAGCAGCTTTACAGTATTAAACAGGAAAACAGTGTGACGATAATGCAAGAGGGCAATAGTAAACACTCCATTTTTTAAAGTCAGTCCAGTAAAAGTTAAAAGTTGTAAAGACAGATTTTTACTTAAGTAAAAGTACAGATGTATTTGCTTTTAAAAGTACTTAAGTACCAAAAGTAAATTTCTTTTTTTTTTATGTCAATGCAGTTTTATTATTGTTGTATGTAATACTTGCAATACCTTATGCTTCTGAAGCATCTTACAATACATTACTCCGACTGAATACACTGACTAGCTTGTGGTAACCTATCTTTGGAATAAAGAGCTTTTAGAATGTTAAAATGTTAAATGTGTAGCAGAAAACATTCCCTTCAGGGTGGTATCCTCCCTTTGCGCCACCACCAACTCCTGGTGAGAAACCGATGAGAAAAGAAGAGAATGACCTGGAATAATTTTCCTTTTTTCACAATTTTAGACTTGGCTCCATATTCTGAACGTCATCAGTTCATTCCAGCGAGAATGAATGGCGTTATTATTGTAATATTATGTGCTCTGTACTGTAAAGTTTTCTCACCGGTGAATGAGACATGAGGAATTCTGACAGCGTTGCATTCAATCCTTCACCAACGCCGTCTCTCATCTTGTCGCTGGTCAGCCTCTGGTCTGCCTGTGCGCGTTCGCGTGGCTTTGCAGAGTGATTATGCAGGGAGGGTGGGATCTTGCTTAGGGATGGGCGATACCACTTATTTTGTTTTCGATACGATACCGATACATTTAAAGGCCAGTATCGACGATTTCGATACCAATACGATACTTAAATTAAGAAATGTATTAAATTATTAAATTACTAAGAGTAATATGGGTAATGATACCCACTTAACTTTATATTTGAAACACATTTTAACATTCAATACGCTTTAATTGCAACTTATTAGGTTATATGTTTGTTTACACGTGGTTAAAAAATGTGTTTACTGTAGTGGTAACCATGGAAATCTACAAATACCATAGTTAAACTACGGTCACTTTAGTAAAACCATGGTTCATTTTCATAAGGGACTGCCAGTGAAAGGCTGTTGCCTGTTGCATGTGTAACGGAGGCCAGCGAGTAGGTGCTGTGCAGGTAAAACCTCACTCCCCTGATCTCAAGAGACGCACTAGTGACTGACGCTAGTGGCTGCAGTCTTTAGCCTCCTTGTTAGTGCGTCCGCCTCCCATGCCGGAGACCCGGATTCGAGACCCACTCGGAGCGAGAACGAGGTGTGACGGTGAGGACCCAGGGGAGAGGGGTTACATTGGTGCCGTGACCCGGATGGGAGTGAGGTTTGGGGGGTGAGTGTAACGGAGGCCAGCGAGTAGGTGCTGTGCAGGTAAAACCTCACTCCCCTGATCTCAAGAGACGCACTAGCGACTGACGCTAGTGGCTGCAGTCTTTAGCCGCCTTGTTAGTGCGTCCGCCTCCCATGCTGGAGACTCGGATTCGAGACCCACTCGGAGCGAGAACGAGGTGTGGCGGTGAGGACCCGGGGGAGAGGGGTTACATTGGTGCCGTGACCCGGATGGGAGTGAGGTTTGGGGGGTGAGTGTAACGGAGGCCAGCGAGTAGGTGCTGTGCAGGTAAAACCTCTCTCCCCTGATCTCAAGAGACACACTAGTGACTGACACTAGTCGCTGCAGTCTTTAGCCTCCTTGTTAGTGCGTCCGCCTCCCATGCCGGAGACCCGGGTTCGAGACCCACTCGGAGCGAGAACGAGGTGTGGCAGTGAGGACCCGGGAGAGAGGGGTTACACATGCATAAAATGCAACCTTTTTATTCTGACTGTATGATTTATATTAACATTACAGAATAACGTGATCAATATGGACTTTTAACGTGTGTTCAGATGAGCAGGAAAATAGTTCTATCCTACACAGTTATTCGCTAACACAGGTTATTTGTCCAATTCAATGCATATTGTACTCATTAATTTTTTTTTGTTAAATAAACAAAATCACTTTTAAAAAAACACACCTTAGTATCGATATTTTTTATTTGAGTATCGATACTTTCGATACTCGCATCAGTATCGATTTATCGATAATTCAGGATCGATACGCCCATCCTTCAAAGCTTACTGGCTATTGCTAGCCTTTCCGAAATCATTTACCTTTAAGTACTGTATTCAAGTAAATGTACTTCATTACTGTCCACCTCAAGGTCCAGAGCTGGTTTTTTTGTTGTCCAGAACATCATCTGGACCGATGATATAATTCAAATTAAAGCAAAGGTTGTTCATTACTTTTTTTTCCTTTTAAGTTTTTTAAGTTGGTGTGGAATTGATTAACTTGCCATAGAGCTGTAGAAATATTAATTATCCTCCAGTCACTTCAATCAGTGACGTAGCTTTAAAGGGGTCATATGATGCGATTTCAATTTTTCCTTTCTCTTTGGAGTGTTACAAGCTCTTGGTGCATAAAGAAGATCTGTAAAGTTGCAAAGACCATGTCAACATATTCTGTTACACCAAATACACAAAAGAATGATCTTTAAAAAAGCATCATATGACCCCTTTAATGTATGTGGGGATTGTATCTTCTTTATAAAACTTTTTTTTCACAGAAACCATTTAAAAATAGCTATTAAAAGAAGAATATAGCACTTGTCCTGCTCATCTGTGAATACAGTGAATACTAAGTCATGTAAATGAATGAAGGGTTAGAAAGATGCTATTCATTTTTGCTTGATCACCTTTTTATATATATCTACCTGAGGCACTTCCAAGAAATGGATATTAATCTTTGATCGGACAGATCCCATGCTTATTATGAGCAGGTCATAGGCATGTATAAACAATTTTAATTCGTGTTTGGATCACTTGGATATCTAATGTATGCATGCACACATGTGCTTTGTGCAAACATGCAAAAGACACACAAAAAATGGTTATGTAAATGATGATTAAACAATTGTTTGGAACAACATTTCATTGATTTATTCATATGCCCTTTTTTAATGGTTGTTAGCATTTATATTTTTTTCTAAGCTTTTTTGCATTTTTGTGCAGATGTATGAATCTAAAATGAGCTACTAAAACATTTTGAGAAGTGGTTGCTTGAGGATTATTGTTTTCATAACATAATGTATATCCAACAGCTCTTTAGCTATATGCAGAAAACAGAACACGCTGCCTCTTAATACCTTTGTAGGTCCTAATCCAGTGGTTCAACTGGATATGAATTGTACATCTGTGAGTTTGTTTGTGCGCACTTACATACGTGTGCACAATATTTCAGCTTTAAAAAAAATGCAATTACCAAAGGCCCATCAGGCAACAAAGTTCTCTTTGCTTTCTTTCCCCCTTCAACATTTCAGAGATAACTCCAACTTAAACTGTCTTGTTTTTAGACTAACAGTGGCAGTGATTGTATGCAGGATGCTGAGAACAAACAATGTTTTATGCAGGATGAGTGGAACTAAAGATGAAACGTTAGTTAGCCGTAAGCCAATTTCAGTTTAGACAGTAGTAACCCATCGTTTCAATGGGACTATTGTGGAAATGGACTAGTGACGTCAAATTAACTCTATAAAGGCATAAATTCATAGTTTTGATAAAAAAAACAATATGAGAACAGCAATCCCCTCCCAGCCCCTTAAATACATCTTCAGTCTTTTCTTTGGCATTGATATCTTCAACTGGCCAAAACAACTGGTCAATTTTTGCACATCATATTTTTTAAGCTAACAAATAGTCTGGTTTAACATGTTGGAGATGCTAGAGTACAGTCACTACCAGGTAAGATGAGACTTTTTATTGATCTAAAACAGAAATAGTTTAACATTTTGCGGCATTGATTACATTTGTTTATCGACTGTTTTTTTCTAATCAGACTAGTGTGTTTCCTTAAATTTCCTTTCTCAGACTCATAGGCAAGCCTGTGCGTTTAGTCTTTTTTAGCATGCTTGCAATATTTATACACAGAGCAATTATAAAATTATTTAATGTATCAAATATGAGCTTCTTTTCTATAAAAAAATAGAATTTTCTTTGCAGAATAGAAATTAATCATATGCACAGATAACATACAGTATTAGTAAGTATCTGAATGTCTGTCTGACCATATTGGCATCACCTCTCTGTTTGTAACTCAGGTGCAAACCCACCTGGAGAGCCCCTCCAAGTACCACATCCAGCAGACCCAGAGGCAGCAGGTGAAGCATTACCTGTCCAGTGCACTGGGAGCCAAGCTAAGCCCACAGGCCAGCACAGGGCCCGGCCCCAGCCAGCCCACGGAGCACGGCATGCCCCCTGTACCAGGAGCCAGCGCTCCTAATAGCCCTATGGCACTTCTCACCCTCAACTGTGAGAAAGAGGTAGATGCAAAAGCTGGCATCACCAGTTATGTCAATCAGACTTTCAGATAATACATTTTGCCAAATTATAGTGTCAAAATATGGTGAATACAGTGACAGGATTCCAACGCAGCTTAGTTTTCCTAAAATGTGTGTGAATAATGTCCATAGACAAATAAGGAAAAGGGAAAACAAGAATGTCTCTCCATATGATTTGTATTTTACCAAAGCACGAACCTTTGGATATTTTTCTTATTACAAATATTTTTATATACACTACCTTTCAAAACTTTCAAAGGTTTCCTAAGCTCACAAAGGCTACATTTATTTGATAAGCAATATAGTACAAACAATTTCATGAAAATAATATTACAATTTAAAATAACTTTTTTTTTTTATTTTAAAATTAATTTATTCATGTGATGGAAAAGCTGAATTTTCAGCATCATTACTCACGTCTTCAGTGTCAAATTATCCTTCAGAAATCATTCTAATATGCTGATTAGGTGCGCAAGAAACATTTCTTATAATTATCAATGTTGAAAACAGTTGTGCTGTTCAATATTTTTGTGGAAACCTTGATAAAAAAATAATTCAGGATTCTTTAATGAATAACGTAAAAAAAAAAAAAACATAGTATTTGCAATTAGAAGGGAAATATAAATATTTTGTAACATTATAAATGCCCTTACTGTCACTTGATGAATATAAGCATTATTTTCTTAAAAATCTTACCCAGACCAAACTTTTGAATGGTAATTGAATGGTAATGTCACTCTATCAAGGATGAAAATTATTATGAGTATTAAGTAACTGCATGCTGAGGCCTATTAGATGTCAAAAAAAGCAAGTTATGTGAGTTGCACAATTTTTCATTATTTCTTCAAAGAGTTCCTGCCTTTGTCTGTGAGAGATTGATGACGCCCTAGTATAGCCTTTGATCTAAAGTACATCAGTGCTGTAAGGATTTCTAGGAAAGTAAAAGGTGTCAGCTGGGAAAAAAACATAGAAGTTCTAAGAAATGATTCATGCATGTGGTGTATGGTCATCTTTCATTGTTTTAATAGTCAATTATCTTATTGGTTTAGCATTTCTTATTAGCCAGGTTATGACTTCATTACTAACATAAAGCACTAATTAGAAGGTGATGTCAACACATTATGTTCTTGTTTTATATTATATTTGAATTGTTACAGATGGACGATGTAATTGAAGACATCATAAGTTTGGAATCAAGCTACAATGATGACATTCTAGGATTCATGGATGCAGGACTTAAAATGACTAATATGGTAAAGGGCCTAATAAATGATCAGGATTGTAGTATCATGCATGTTTGTTATGTTTAAGATTTATATAAGCACCTAAACAGTCAACACATGCACTGAAATCTTTGTGGTTATGGTTTATCATTTTTCAGATTCCAGTTTCTGCAAACCTGTTGGACATGTACAACAATCATGCTCTTCCTCCAGCTGGGGTTACCATTAACAACTCCTGCCCATCTAACCTACCGGCCGTCAAAAGGGAATTATCTGGTAAAATTACATTATCTTACCTATAATTAATGTTTATAACAACTTTTGGTTACCATGCCAAAACCCACCATTCTTAGGAATAGTAAAATTATCCATATTGTGTGCAGTTCCGAATGCACAATATCAATGTCAGATATATTGTATTAAATAGTTACCCCAGCACCTGGCATGATGCACATGATGGACAAGCCTGGATCATGTGGCAAGTTTGACACTTATCAAAGGCCTGAAGGCTTTCCAGTAGGTATGTTTCCCTTTCCTCGGCCTCTGAAGGCTCTAGGCATGAATAAAGGGATTTTTTGTCATGAGACTGTACATTTATATCTAGAACATATTATTTAATTGCCTAATGTGTGTCAACAAGTTTTACATTCGAAATTACATTTACATACATAGTAATTAAAGAAAAATTATTTTCAAGCTTAATGCACAATTGGCATGTGTAACAATTGCCTGTGTATTTGATAAAGACAGTAATTGCACACAATATGGACACTTGATTAAATATATATATATATATTTCATTTATCATGTTGGAGTTTACTAGTTAAGAGTCACTGATTTAACAATTTGTTGATTTATGAAGGATTTCTCTAGAACAATATGAAAACTAGCTAGAATAAAAACTGCTAAAGTGTGATTTCTGGAGTTGGCTTGATATTGTCCACAAATGCAACTTAACTTCTTGGGGTGTAGGTGTTCCAGGGGTGGAGTAACCAGTAACATATGTCTAGGCGTGCACAATTCAATTCACTTCTACAACTGTTAATTAACACTAAGAGCAACATCAAAAACATGTCCAGTCTTTAGCTATAACTCACAGAAATATTTTACTGATATGAAGTTTGTTCATTTACGGAATGAAGTTTGTTTGTCATATCACCATGAGAAAGCTGTTGGGAATTTTGAACACTTTAGATTTATACTGTGTCAAATTTTCAAAGATCTGTCTTGTAACATAAATTGGTGAATAAAAGCAGAAGATAGACTAATGTTACTATATGATAAATATTGAATGGAATAGAAGAGAGAATAGATTTGAGCAATGTATGTTGATCAATCCTAAAAGGACATTAATCTTGATTTATCAGTACAGTATGTACTTTTGCACAGCATTGTAGATATTGTTCTTCAGGCAGTGTTTTTAATCAAAAATCTAAATCAAGTCAAAATCGTGATTGATAAAAACACAAATTTTTATCACAATGATATGGGGTCTCCATAATGATGAATGATTTGCTACTGAAAAGCTAAAGTACAAATCTCTTACAAGTCTCTTCTATATTTTTGTCTCTTCTACAGTATGTTATACTTGTTATCTGTTCTGTCTACTGCAATATTTTAAAGGTCAATACAGTCATAAAAAATGAAGTTTTATTTATGCAACAAATCATTGAAGAAGACAGGAGTGAAAATTTATATCAGATTATCTGATTCAAATCTAGTAGTATTCTTGTACCAATATCCAGTATTCTTGTGTTTGTTTTTAAGACTTATGAAGACATAAAAACAAGAGAACATTAATTGAATACCAGACAAATGGTGTCATGTTTTCTGCACATATCTGTGGTATTTGTGATGGTGTTCACAAAACTGAAGCTATTGTTGCTCTGAAACATAATAGGCTACATCTTTCTCATCATAATGGAGACTTGCTAATAAGAGAATTGTTTATTATAAACTTGCATGCATTACATCAAACACATCAGACAGAGTTTTTAATTAAATTTTTTTTTTTTTTTTTACATTTTTAATAAATGATTTCATTATTAACCGAAATGATTCTTTGTCAAATATGAAATGGTGGGAAAGAAACCCTTAAACACAACTAAAGAAAGATCTTCACATATCAAGTCAGCCTTCTTCTATTCACGGCCATTTACAAAAATGGCAATTATAGTAATGAGAAGCAATTGTTTTAAATGTAAAACATTTAAATGCCCATAATGTATACAAAATAAAAAGGAAACAGAAGCTGTCATAGAATAATACATGCGTATAAATTGTTAAAGCTAAGAGGATCCCTTGTATGTAAACATTGGCTGAGGTCTCACTGAAGTGAACCAGTGCTCAGTTCATCGCACCACTTCTCATAAGCCCGGAACAGAGTGCCTTCATCAGTGTCGTTGAAGATTTCTAAGTGAGGAATGAGAAAAAATATATATACTTTTTCTAAATCATGTGACTAACACTTTACACGATATGTTAAAAATCCCTTTTGGGTGCTTTAAAATCTCTTCTTTTTAATAACCTCAAGTCATGAAATTCGTACTTGTAAGATGCTTGTACTTGCATTATAATATGTGTGTGTGTGTGTGTGTGTATATGTATATATATAATTTACTAAATAATTATTGATAATTAATAATAAAAAATCGGTTACACTTTATTTTAAGGTGTCCTTTTTACAGTGTAATCATGCATTTAAGTACTGAGTAATATCAGTTAACTACATGTACTTAGGGTTAGGATTAAGGTTTGGCTTAGGTTTACTTGCATGTAATTGTGCATAATTAGTTGTTATTATAATAGTAAGTACATGTAACATGTGTAACAAGGACTCCTTAAAATAAAGTGTTACCGAAAAATCTTAACATTTGTTTTTGCAGATAACATGGTAAAACAATGTTAAAATACATTTTTTCCCTTGCTTCACCCTCTACAGTAGGGTCATATTTTCTCAGTCTATCAAGGTCTCAATGTTCAAGTTTTTTGAGGATGAAGGGATGTCTAACAACCTGACCATGGTTGCATGCAACATTGTGACTTTTGAAGTTATGCCAAAATATTGTGCCAAATATGAGTTTAAATGGTGGTATGACATTTGAAAAAACATGGCATGTCTTCCTTTTCCTCCCTTTTAAAAGTTGATAAGCCAGTTTACCCTAACTATGCATGATTATATGGTTCGTTGTGTTTTATGATTTGGCATTCTTTTTCCAGTCCTAGATTAGCCTTTAAGCATGTTATCCTTAAGATTCAAATATATTACCAGCTCTTCCAAGGCCTGTTGGTAAAGGCATTCTCACAAGCCCTCCAGAGTGTTGTAGTCTGTCACATAGAGATTTCTGAACCAAAGCAAAGGTGCAGTCTTGATGCCACACTGGCAGCTCCAGCCCCAGCATGCAACAGACGATCCTGAACTTCTCCTGCTCTGTGAGCAACCCCATCTCACATGCCACATACACCATGTAGGCCATATCAATATTCACTGCTTCACCGTGGAGTAAAGCTGGTAGGACTTTCTAAAAAAAAAAACGGAAAAAATAGTTATTGCTGCATTTTGCATGCATGCATAACCAAAACCTGAACCACAGTTTTAGGAATTCAATTCTGAGAACAATTTTCAGACAGACTAAAATAATGTATCTCACCTAAGAAAAGAATATTGAAAGCCTTGCAGCGAAACAATACTATAATTTTTAACCCCACCCAACCCTTTGAAAATAGTAGAATGTGCGGCTGATGAAGTGAAGATACCATCTCTAATTCTGGGCTGATCAGGTGACCGAAGTCGACTAGTCTGTCAAGATCATCCTCCCACAGGTTTGGGGCCAATTCTTCTAACATGGTTTCTATAGCGACACGGGTAGAAACAGAAGCAGGGTCAATGAGGTCGTCTTCTAGAACCATACCGGACTGGAACTTCGAGTCTAAAAGAAACTGCCCCTGCATTTCCAGAAGTTCAAACAGCCCTCTGTGCTTCATGAGAGCCATCTAAAACAATAAAAACACAAATATAATAAATATAAACATAAATAAAAAAGACAAATAATAATAAAAACACAGCTTTGCAAAATTCTGCTGATTTGCAAAAAAGGCCTAATATTACATAATTTGATGATGTTTAAAAAATATCATCAAATTATATATATATATATATATATATATATATATACTGAAAATATCAGCTTTAATACAAAATAACAAAAGAAATGTCAAAAGTTTTTTTCAAATGTCAAAGACGCATAATTTAACTTGAAATCTAAAAAGGAGTGGAAAAATATATTCCAATACTCCATTTAATGTTAGAACATAAAAGCTTTTAAATAATTACGCTTTTTCACAAAATCTGTAATTTTCTATGGCTGTTTGGATGTAGTAAAACACCCACAGATGTAGCAGAAAACATCAGAGGCCTTGTTAGCATTTTCTTCCATCACTGGCCATAATTCGAACCTTGAAATCAGGATTAGATATAAAAATGTCTTCAGAATTATTCATACATGTGAAAATTGACTGAGATTTGAACAAATAGTTTTAATCTGGTTCATAAGACTTATGTCTTTGTAGCGGTCTTTCTAGTGATTAAGGGATAATACAGGACTTCTTTACCTTACAAATGGTTGTCGAAAGCAAAAATGCTAAACAATGCATATCCTAATTTGGGAGAAAGTATGATGTGCTGAAGAAAAACAGGCCGTATTTTGGGAATCAGCACTCCAAAATTAACAAGAAACAAGTATTGGATTCCATTCAGCAAATATGATGCAGAGTGGTGTAAGAATACAACTTATAACAATAAATATTCCAAAAAAGGGAAAAAAATGTACCTTCAACATTTCTGCAAGACCATTAGATATGTGTCTGCGAGGAACTGTCTGTATAAACGACCTGTCCAAGAAGGCAGCAACAGGTGCGATGTAGGTGCCTAGTTTGTTCTTGCAATTTGCGAAATTCACGCCCGTCTTTGCTCCAACGCTAGCATCGATGTATGACAAAAGGGTAGTGGGAACACGAATGTATGGAGTGCGCCTTCTGTAGAGGGACGCTGCGAGACCCACGATATCCAGGCAGACTCCACCTCCGATGGCGATGATGGGCTCCGTACGCCGGTCGATACCAAACCGGTGGACTTTCCCCAGAATCTTCAGGGCCATTTCCATGGACTTGTTCTCCTCCGTCGTGGGCAGGGGCAGGATCCAGTACTGGACGTGTCTGGCCTCGAGGTAGTCGGTGACCTGAGAACCATAGAGATTGTATACTACCTCATCCATGACTATGAAGCGTTTTAAGGGCTTGGTGCTGGACCGTAAGGCCTCAAGCTGCTGAGTGTCTCTGATGTGGCCCAAAAGCAGAGTGTCATTGCTGGGGTCAAGAAGATTTTTGGTCTGAGTAACTGTATATGTGAAGGTGATGGGGGTGACCACTGTCCAGGTGGTGCCACTAGAGGAACTGCAACATATAAAGCTCATAACTCATTTTGTAGCTTGTTTTTCAAAAGTCAGATTAAATATTACAAAAAATATAAGTGGTGCTACCTGACTGCAATATTTCTGTTTTCAAACGAATTAAAATCTAGATTTTAATTCGTTTAATTAATTTAATTTAAGCATTTGCTTGAAAAATATTTATTTTTTTTAAATAATATTTTTTTCTAATATTTAGGTGTAAAAGGCCCCATGGATGTATAGCAACACAAACTACTACTGCACTTTGCTGCAATACTGACACAACCTGCTTTGCATAAGTGGATGATTGAATTGGATATGTAAAGTGAGCTCATATTTGACTCCTCCTGTCTCACTGGAGACTTAGTTTGAACAAAACAGAAATACATATGAACTAAAATTGCAGCTCTGTTAGCATGTCCATTTACTAATAGCAAAATTATACATAAGTTGTTATAAAATTCTGTACATCAAAAGCTATGAAATGCTAAAAGTAATTTAAATTAAAATAATCTGAACAAATTCTTTAACATTTTACTCAAACACTGTTAATCCATAAAAATTAAATGTAGCCTATTCGCTTTAAATATATACATATTTTTAATATAATAATAATCATAATGCAATTTATGATCAGATAAAAAACACATTATCCTTAAAGGGGTGGTTCATTGCGATCTAGAGGCGGTTTAGCCAATCACAACACACTGGGCTAGCTAACCAATCAGAGCCCATCGCCTATTTCTGAGGGTGGTGCTTCATAAAAGAAGGAAATGATCAGCCCGTTTCTCAGAGAAGGGACAAGAGAGGTGTGGAATAAAGGTCAATTATGTGAAAAATAATGTGTTTTTTAAAAAACGAAGCGTTAACACATGTTAGACTGCACCCCATAAACACAATCAAGCCTAGAAAAAAACCCAGTGAACCACCCATTTAAGACCTGCAATCTATTTGATGCTTTTAAGTGGGTCAAAAAACTGACCACAGGTGGGTGCAGTTTCTCAGGACAGTAGGAGTTACTTGAAACTGATGTGACCCTTAAAACTTTTGACCCTAATGCACCTTGATTCAGCCTGACTTTAATAAAACTAGATAATTTCATTGTTTCCATAAAGCACACTTCATTGTTTCCACATAAAACACACCTGACAACATACTTTTAGAAATAAAATAAATAACGTAAGCTTTTCTATAAATGTTCGCAATACTTATTGATTTATACGCACATTTTAGCAGCTGACACTCGTCCTTTTATTCCTTGCTTCACATTTTGCCCTGCTTTGCGTTTCCACGTCCCCTTCACCTGCACCAGGCTGAATACGGTTTCCTTCTGTCTGTTGAGGCTCTCCATCGTCGAGTTCTCCAACGACGGGTGGCAAGGAACAGCTGGCTGGCGAATTTCAGATGTATTAACTGTTAAAGGTTCCTCAGCTCTCTCCATATTTGTAGCGTCATTAAGTAATGTCATGAGGTGCATCAGCAGGAATCTGGGAGGAGCTTGCGCGGAATACTTATGAAAGGTTCTCCCTCTCCAAAACCGTGATGTCTCACTGACTTTGAACTTACACAACTCACGTTCGCTATACGAACAGTTATATGTGATGATCACACGTGCGCAAACGCCCCGAGGCGGGTGGGTTATGAAATATGACTAGATGTTATATGAGAACTAAATGATGGACAGGTGCTGTGATGCAAATTGGATCTGTCCACGATTATGAAGTTACATTTTCTTTATTATTTTTGTTTCTTTCTTTCTTTGTTTCTTAAATGGAGCACCAAAGTTCACTGTCATGAAAATGCAGAATGTCAGAATGCGCTCCATTCCGAGAACTCTATGTCAATATCATTGTTTAAAGAAGGCGATAACTTTCATTTGTTGATAGACTCGAAGAGTGTGCAATGTTTCATTGATAACAATCATAAGATCCCCTTTTTTATCCCAGACAGTTATTAGTTTTCTTTCAAACACACACAAAAAATAAATGATTAATGAATACACCTAAATTATTTAATACAACTAAAACAATAACAAAATAAGTGAGATAAGGAAAAGACCACTGAAGCCATTGGTGTATAAAGAGAAGGTGGTATAACAGGTTTGACTGTTTGATAAGAAACCACGTGCACACAAGCAAAGTTAGTGCAGACCTCATTGACCTTTGCTATCCAAAAATGTCAAATTATGAATTATGATTTTTGGAATTACTGTGCATTAGTAGCATTTTTTATTTTTATTTTAAATGGATATAATTTGTAATTATATTGTAAGTAAATTTTATGATTGTGAGGACTAGATATGTGTTATAGAATGATATCTTATGGAGTTTTAGTTACAAGAAGTCAGTCATATTAAAAAAATAATTTGACTTTTGAACTTTGCATGCCCCATGGTATGTCCAACATAGGCCTACTTTGGAACTCTTTGGAACATAAAGTCACTTTCATGATTCCTTTTTTTATTAAACACATTTTAGGTTACCTGCAGAAAACAAAAAAAACAAACAAAAAAACAGGTAGTCATATTGCGAAATAATTTTACACTTTATCTGTGCATGCCATGTCAAGCAATCCAATATCCAATACTTTGGAACTTTGGAATCACTGTCATGTTTGCTTGTTTGTTTGTTTGTGTGTGTGTGTGTGTGCGTGTAAGTGTAAGGTTTCTTTAGTAATGTTAATTAACATTTAAGACTTGAATAAATCAAGTTAATATTATTAAACATTTCAGTCAAAAAAATTTTTTATTCTCACAACAAACATAAAATAAGTAGTTTTCAGATGTATTAATGACCAATCTAAAATAATAAAATAACTTTCATTCCATTATAAGCTCAGGGGTTTCAACGGGAACTCCCTGTAAATGTTCTGAAGTATAAACATAAACAACTATTTTGCAGTCATTTACATATTTGACACATTGAAACATTAAAGAAACATATGGTTCAAGTGAAATGAGTTACTTGAGCAATGGTTGGTGCTCAAACCGGTGGGTTTGCGGGTCGTGGACTGGAATTCACAAAGGTCAGACAGCAGCAGCCCTCGAAACTCAACTCTACAGTGCTCGGAAGCGCAGTTACGTAGTCTGTGCACGCACAAGTGTGAAAGCTGCACACAGAAACGGGGCGATGCACTGACTGCGAATTCGTTACCTTGTGTAAGTTTGTGACGTGATCATCATTTGCATAACGCTTGTGCTTGTAAGGTGGCCTTGTGCAACGGAGAACACGGCCAACACAACCCTCCCAATTCATGCAACGAAGATTAGCTATGCAGGCAGCAAAAGGTAGGAATGTTTACGTGCGTCAGTTTGTATTCCCGAACTTGTATTACAGATCGCTAAATGACAAGTAAAACCGCACATTTTCTGAAATAACGTCAGTTCTGTTTGTTGCAGCAGATCTAAAGCATGTGTAATCTACATAGTCTTACAACTCACAGACAGCAAAAATACTCCGTTTTTACCGTTTACTTACTAAACTCTTTCATGTGTCGTTATGTGTTTATTTATGGAAAATTAGAGGTTTGTAGTCAAAGGGAGGGAATAGTTATTCAGTTGTTGGAGCGATTTGAGGAATTTTCTGTAGTTCTAAAAAATATGCATAGCCTATTAATATAGACAAATATTTATTTTAACATTACGTGACTTTAAAAGCTATTATTTTTGGACAGGTTTTGCAAGTTAAACTTCATGATCTTGCTCAGAGGAATCTGAGCCCTATACAGAAACATCCTGTATCAGAATCTATCAGAATCCATGGTAATTTCACTTAGGAAATAGAATTTTTTTTTTTCAAATTAGGATACTAAGTTTCTGTAAGTGGCGGCTCGTCGGGGGAGGCAGGGGAGGCACAGCTTCCCCATAATTTTGAGGTGAAAATGGGAGGAGGACGATTTAATGTTAATAAAATTCACAATTAATTTCAGTTCATGTCTCAGAATGTGTATTTTTTGTTTGTAATCTCACAGTTGTAATACCATAACGTGAAAGCGCCGCTTTTCTATCTCGAATGTGCCGAATCTGCTGATGTAATGGCAACCGCTAATGATAGAGAAGGGGAGGGGGAGGCCGGGGGAGAGGTGAGCTCTCGTGCCTCCGTTGGAAAAAAAAATTAGCCAATCACCATCGAGTGTTCACTTTCAGCACTGAGGTGATTTATGAGTAAATTATGTGCAATGTCTTGGCCACTAGGGATTGTTACATAGGGCTATACAGGCATCTAGTGGCAACACAATGATATTACAGATAATAAATTGTGCAAAATCTTAACAGTCAATTTACAAATAATGCATTCAGATTTGTGGAACTCAATGCACTGAATCTCCACAAATTAGTGTCGTTGCTATGACAACCAATTTGAATGTGACAAGCAACTGGTGTCTGAAAAGAATTATATATATATATATATATAATTATTTTATCTTGCTGTATGTATGTCGTTTTCTTTACGTTTTCTGACTAAAAGCAACCAAAAAGCCATTTTAAAGTGGTTAAGCAAATAATAATAATAATAATAATCGGCAGGGATCCCAGACCAATACAATTAGTGTGCCTCCTCTATTTTAAAACCCACGAGCCGCCACTAATAGCCTACAACTGGGGCACATCAAAATTACAGTAGGCATTATTTAAGCTTTATTGCTATTATAAAAAACATCAACAATTAGCCTACAGTTTCTAAATAAGCAGAAGGTGGTGGATGTTTTTTCACTTTGTGTTTCGTGGACCCCTAGCGGTTCATAACGGAACTGCAAGGGGCTCGTGAGGTGGGAGAAGAAATGGCAAATTAAATTAAATGTTTTTATGGTCACCTGCCAAAAAACAGTGCTGGGAACCACTGTGTTGCTCTTCTTAGCAACAAACTGTACCCGTTTATTTATTTATTTATTTATTCATTCATTCTTTCTTGGAATGGTTGCAGCAAGCAAGATATGTGGCCTGTATGAATATTACATTCTACAGGCGTGGTGTGTTATGTAATCAGTTCTCTACCAGGTAGTAGACATCAGTAATAAGTTTTGTAGCTGTACTGCATAGGCTTACCTCTATGAAAGCTTATATATCTATATATATATATATATATATATATATCAAATCTATGATTGTATGCATCATAACACATCTACATCAATCACATACTACTAATAAATGTACTAATCCATCTTTTTAATATTAGTTTCAGACACTCCTGTGGAATTTGTCATTGAGTACCTTCAGAAGGCTAAAGAGATCGCAGAGAATAATGCAAATGTTCCAGCTGAGCTGTGTGATAATCTTCAGAAGGCCCTGGACATTGCTAGCGGATTGGATGGTTACCTTGAACAAATGAGCAGCCAGGAAAGTGAACCGTTGGCTGAGTTGTATAGGTAACTATTCACCTGAACCTTTGTGTGGGTTGCAGATTATTAGTTTTGTGAATGATGTGCCTTTGTTTAGGATGTGTTTGTGGTTACACTGTGTTTGTCCTGGAAGTGTTTGTGCAGTGCAAGATTATTTTGGCTGCCAGTCACATGCAATTATGCATTATTGTAATGTTGTATTATGTGTATGAATATGCAATATATACATCGTGACTGTTTATTTATTTTCTTAAGGAAATCAATTTCTCATGACTGGAATAAGGTACATGAGGATGGAAAAACCTTATTCAGGCTTCCTATTACATGCATCACTGGACAGGTAGAAGGTATACATCTTTAAAATACGAATCTTTTTATTTAATCTTAGTTTAATTGCAACATTTAATGAATATTTTAATTTTCATGTGTACTTTATGTTTGATGTCTTCATAGATACACACAATTACTCACAGTTGTTCATAAAACCAATAAAATGGAAAATAATTATTTTACTTCTTTACAAAACACTGAAAAACCTTACTGACCCTAAACTTTTAAACAGTTGCGTATATGTGCAAACTATATTTTAAGACTGGTTATTGTCATTCTATAGGTCAGGTATTAAAGATGCTGGTCCATATGAGCAAAGCAAAGAGGGTCTTAGAGATAGGAATGTTCACAGGATATGGGGCTTTGTCAATGGCGGAGGCCTTACCAGAGAATGGCCAAATTGTTGCCTGTGAGCTCGAGCCTTACCTGAAAGAATTTGCACAACCTATATTTGACAAGTCTCCCCATGGTAAAAAGATAACTGTGAAGACTGGGCCTGCTATGGATACCCTGAAGGTGGGGAAAAACAAGTCCTACCTACATCTCCACAGGCATTTGAGCTGTTAAATAGGTCCTGTCCAGAAAGGAATTTTGATTATTTGATTATTTTGTTAAGAAAATGCTTTAAAAGTGTACTATGTTGCAGGAATTAGCTGCCACGGGAGAGCAGTTTGACATGGTTTTCATTGACGCAGACAAACATAACTACATCAACTATTACAAGTTCCTCCTGGACCATAATCTGCTGCGGCTAGATGGTGTTATATGTGTAGACAAC